CACTTGCTCACCCCTTGACCTTGTTTGTACTGTTACATATATATATACACCTGCTCTTGCTTGTTTAGCCTTATATATATATGTAATCCTGCATGTGAACTGGCCTTGTGGCCTTGAACTTGTGCTCGGAATGTGTGGTGACGTTGTGATCCACCCTGAGCTTGCTTTGCTTTGCTTGACTGGTCTTGTGACCCCTTGTCCTCCCCCACTTTGCCTATGGGGGTGTGTCAGATTTATATGACTTTGCACATATGGGGTACAGCTTTCTAGGGTTTGTACTTGTACCCAACTTTCCCTTAGTCTTTTCATTCCTCGTTCATTTTCACAATCTACTTGCTAAAATCAACGCTCTCAACCGGTTTTTCTAGTGAAGGAAAGTGCTGATGTTTAATTTAATTTGATTTGCCTTCTCATGACTACACCCTAACCGAAACCGTGTTGTTACTGTGCCCGCCTCTGTTTCAGGTTGACATCACACTCGTACACCAAGGTGGATCGCACGATTGGCTAAAGCAGGCTCCACTACATGGAATACGACACCACTTTCGGAAGGGGGGCAGCAAGCTCTTATCGCCATTCATCGCACGTCTTGCCAGCAGGAAACGAAATATCAAAGTGGACGGCGTGGATGCGGAGGGCGAGCCATCTTTTCATGAGATCGACCTGAGCGAGGCGCCTCATTCCGGACACAAATACGGCGGCTCGATGGCCGACTGCATCAAGCTCTGCAAGGCGTTCGCGCTGGAGGTGGCGACAAATCTACACACCCGCATGCACAGCTTGAAGTAGATGGAGGGCAGCAAGCTGTACAAAGTGGAGTCGTGGACAGATGCGACAGAGAAGCGGGAGCGTTGGGTGGTGAGTTGGCTGGATGCCAACGCGCGTCTCTTCAACAACAGGCTGCCAGGTGAAGTCTTGCACACGCGGTTTCTACATTTAGCGGAAATTGATGTTTGATGTTGGCATGTTAGTTATTGCTAATGCTGAAACAAGTTTTGTGATTAAGTTCACGTGGCAGGCTTCAATCACTGGGCGGCAGAGCCAGAACTGAAAAGCTTCTGCCACGTCATATCGCGCCACTACGAGGATGAAGACTTTTACCAGGGGCTTGCCAAGATGACGAAGACAAAGAACTGGCCACGCAATTTTCCCAACCTAATGTCCATGTGGCAGGCGCTGGCAGTGATTCTGCTAAGCACCGTGGAATGCGAGCGTGGATTCAGCCAACATAATATCATCAAAAGCTGGTTGCGGACGTCGCTTGCCGACGCCCGTCTATCTGAGCTAATGATGCTAAACATGCTGGACTACAAGTACAAATGGACCGAGGTGGTGGAGATCTGGCGGAAGCAAAACTAGAGAAGGCCCGCCAAAACACCAGCCCCATACAAGCCCTGTTCAGGAAAAGGCAGTTGAGTCGTCTGATGGTAGCGAGGACGAGCACGCATATGACTTAATGGCTGTATAAATAAAGTGTGCAGGTGATGTTTATAATAGTTTAGTGTTTGGCAAATTCTGTTAGTGTACCAAAAAAATCTACACTGCAGTTGCAGGATAAAAGGTTAGAAAACTCAAAGTTACACTAATCCATCAGTGTAATGAAAAAATACACACTGCTCAGAAGGGTTATTGAAACGTCTACACTGCCAATCGTGAGTAGGCAAAATCCAAATCGAAGCCCTGGTTGCACCCACCTTGCACGTCGGTAAGCGACGTCCGCTTCGTTCAAGCGAGGGTTGAGCCAAATCTCCAATCAACAATCCCCTTTCCCTTCCCCCTCTCCCTCCCCCTTCCCCAACTCCACCCCACACCCTTGCCCTTACCCTCGCCCTCCCCCTCCCCCTCGCCCTCGCCCTCGCCCTCGCCCATCCCACGCCTCTTGGCGAATTCACCCACGTTCGCACTCTTGTTGTCCTTTTAGGGTGCTACAATGCCAGGTGATTCAGCAACCGCTGTGAGTGTGCTGAGAGGGAATCAATCCTGGTTAGGATGTTTGAGGTTCTCGAGCACGACCCCCTACAGCGTCGACTTGATCGAGATGGCATACACGAAAGCTACATATAGCGTAAAACACATGAAATCTATATCATAATTGCAACACAATTGCAACCCTTCAAAACTTACACTTAAACATAGTAACAGCAGGTGCCCCTCTATTCAGGGGGATTCGGCATGATACCGTAAACTGTGCAGGCTTGCTTAGATTGATTTTTGTGTGTTTTCATTAAAATCTTGTTAAGAAAACCACAAAAAAAACAAAAAGGGGGGTCACGCATGCACTTCGAAGGGGGGTATGATAATAATAAAAAATGGCAAGGCCCTCCCCTTTGTATTGTAGACTCGGGGTTAGTATTCAGGGAGGGTCTAATACACCTACTCCGCGGTATTTTAACCACGTGAACTTTTTTGTTTAAAGCATCCTGTGTGCATTTTTGTCCAATGGGATGGGCACCCAGAGACTTCGGGGCTATTAGAATACAACCGAGACACTTTTATTTTGGAAAACCCACACTTAGTGCTCCGAGATAGGGGGCGCTTTGCAGGGCTGACGCTATCAGACTATTTAGTCTGATTAGTCTGACGAATCAGACCTTGCACTTGGTGGAAAATGGATTTCCAGACTAGTCTAATTTTCATCACTGAATGCATCAGACTTAATGTTTTGGGGCCCCTGATTACATGTAATAGGCTTCAGACTTAGTCGTTTCCGGAGTCTGACTGTACAGAGTATCGAATCTGTGGTCCCTGAATTTGACCTTATCGAGAAGAAGTTTCGAGGAAATTTTCTTCCGATAACCCCCCCTTCGGATTGGTTGCACTACAGCCAGCGCGTACCATGTGCGTAATCATTCCCCCCCTCCCCCCCCGCTTTATCGTGATAGAGGGGACGATGGAGCGGAAAGAGCGAAGGCGACGGGAGGGAAGTGAGCGTTGCAAACGGTTGAGAAAATGAATCCGCGACGGGAGGGATGAGCGTAGGCCACGGAGGGAGTAACCCTAATGTGCACGGATCGCGATTGAGACTGCACTAGTTGGAGAGAAAAAGCCAGGTCTAAGCAGAACGCCAGGCTATTTTTAGGCTAGGAACTGGTCGATTTCTGTCGACCTGAATTACAATTTCCTGCTTGGTATGCACACCCATAGCCGAAGTCGTTGCCAGGGACCCTTGCGATCCTTCCCTGTGTTGCGTGCGACTTCCTCACGGCAAACTGGTTCGAACCCTGGTAACCACCCAGGTTCGGGAGGGAAAGTGTTAAAGCCCGCGGCCCAAATTGCGGGCCGCGCGGGTCAAGCTTTTAAAACTTGACGAACTAGTGTTTGCAAGGTTTTAAAAAAAGCGCGCCTGCAATTTGGGACTTTCGGGGACTGAACCAACTCCCAGGGCGAAATAACCGAAATCGATAACGTTCGCCAAACCCCAGACCAGAAAAACCCCCTCGCGTCAAGCTTTTAAAAGTTGTGCAATTTGGGCTGCCGGCTTTAACACCCCCAACAGTTTTTGTAATTCAGGCTACGGGTTTTTAATTTCGTTCCGACGCACCCACCACCATTGAGAATCTCGACCCTCACGAGTGAGTGGTGAAGCATAAAGTGAGTCTTCATCACTCACTAGTGAGGGTCAAACTGGTGAGTCAAACCTGTCTTGACTGGTCACAGCACCAGCGTCATTAAAAATTCGCGTTGACAAAGCGAATTCGCGCCGTACGGAGCAACGAATTTGCCCAATCACAGCGAAATGGCCCTGACACAACAGATTTGAGCTGTCAGAGCACAAAGGTCTTGACCAATCACAGTAAAATGTATCTGACATTGCAGATTCGCCCTTTCACAGAACAGATTCGCCATGAAAGTTCAGTTTCGATAATGCACAGCGCGTTACTACACGTACCCTGATCCTGACTTCTCGACCCTGAACACTCAGACTGTATAACTTCCCAACACTGAGCAATCAGGGTGCTGCTTTTCTGGAAAATATGCCTTCAGGGTTAAATTTTTTTTTTTAGGTGGACATCAGGGTACCTAAATTTCAAACGTCAGCCCTGGCGCTTTGGCATCATCAGAGTTGCAACTGACGTGACCTCGCGAGGGGACGCGCAACTCTACCATCATAAATTGGTTAAACTACCCTTGTATTCAATCTTGACCACAGAGCAAGGCCTCAGATTCACTTTTAGGGTCGTCACCCCATCAGGGTCCCCCTGCGTGTTAACTCTGTTTTTCAGTGTCCCAAAAGAAAAAAGGCTGAAATGTCAGTGTTGCGAATTTTTAAAGCCTGATGCATTAGTGTACCTTTTGCAAAAACACTGACTCTCTATTAAAGTCCTACTTTTAGATAAATAGTCACAAGAAGAGTTCTAGTTCTAATAGTCTCTAATAGGGGTCATGCATGCATCATCGTCGGAATCAGAGACATCGTCATCACCCCCCTGAGCCTTTGGCTCTTCTTCCCACTCTTGAAGTGCCTCCTTTCCCCTGCCACTACCCTGCCCCTCCCTTGCTGGAGCTGCTGCCACATTGCCAAAGGGCCGGCGCTTCTTGTAGCCGCACCAGATCTGCACGATTTCGTTGTAGTCGGGGTCGTACTCGAGGAGCGACATCGTGACCAGATCTTCAAGGCGGGCGTCTTTGAGGCTCCCACGCTGCCACGATTTGATGATGTTCTGGCGGGAAAACCCGCGCTCACATTCCACTGTGCTCAGCGGCAGTACGGCGACAGCCACCCAGAGACGCACAAGGTTGGGGTAGCTAGTCGTCCAGTCGCTTGTCTTCAGCATCGCTGTGAGGCCGGCATGGAAGCTTCTCTCGGTCTTCGGGGCACCTGCGAGGATGGGGCAAAAAGCTCGCAGTTCTTTGATCGCCCGGCGCTTGTCGATCCCTGCCAGACAAAGCAGAAAAGAGATCGTTAGTCTGATTGACCGACGGGGCAGACACCTCCACAGGCATTAATGTTCAAAATGTTGACACGATGCGTGTTTAGTACAGCACAGGTGCACGATCAATCAAGACGTACCAGGAAGGATGTAGTCTGTCTCTAGTGCCCTGAACAGCTTGACGAGTGACATGAGCCACTCGAGACACTGCTTGTGCCGCTCTCCTCTCTCTGGCGGGTACTCATCGGGCATGAACAGCCTGACTCCCACAAGGGATTCCAAGTCTGCAAACCTCTTGGTGAGGTTGCGCACGAGCGTCTCTGCAAACGAGGCGCAGAGATCCACGCAGTTGTAGTGATTTCCCAGCGTTGGGTAGTCCTCGCTCGGGTTCTCGTGCAGTTTGAACGTGTATTTAGTGGGCCGACCGTCAGAGTCCACTCCTTGCACCGTCACCTCGGGGTTGTCACTGTCCGGCCCGTACTTCATGATGAACGGGGACAGGCGCGCGCTCAACCCGCCCCCAAACTCATCGCCGTAGTCGACGTAGCGGGTCTCCAGGTAAGAGATGGTTCTCCTGATCTGCGCGTGCACACCTGCAATGTCAAGCTATGTTTGGGCGACAGAAATAACATGGAGGGACACAAGGAAGTCGAGCCAGGGGGTGATTTCTCAGACGATTAGTGTTGTGTTTAACCGTCAACAATAGAACTGCATTGACATACACACACAGAAGCCACACATACAATAACAAGATATCATGACAAGTGCAGCACACACTGAAACGACAAGTCGCTCACCTCTCGCTGCTGGAAAGACTTGTTCAGGATGTTCAGCTGCTCGAGCACGTCGGCCAGGAAGTACAAGAGGAAGTGAAACCTGTAGCTCGTGGCGAGCTCGTACAGCGTTTCGTCCCACTCGTACAGCATGACGATGATCGCGGGGAAGACGGTCACCAGACGCAGAACAGCGTCACCCCTGGAGAGCCAGCGGACCTGGTGAATCCCCTGAAGCTCCAGGTTTGTGGACGTGAAGAGTTCTTGAAGCTCCAGAAACCGTTGATGCCATGGGCCGGAACGGCCGAGATGCTCTGCGAGTTGACGGATGAGGCTGTCAACCATGTCGAACTCGGGAAGGGCCGCCGCTGCATGTTTTGCTGCGAGCGCCTCCCTGCAGGCACAGCACAACACAAAATAGCAACACGAAATATTAGCATAGGATGATGAAGAGAAGTAGCTTTAGCATGGTGCAACAATAAACGTACCTGTGGGCAACACAGTGGCTTGAAACGAGATGCGGTATGCGGAGGCGAAGCCGTACGACGAGGCCGTTCTTGCGCCCCATCATCACCTTCGCCCCATCGGTGCTTATACCAGCGATCCTGTGTAGGTCGATGCCGAGAGCCTGCAGGTGAGACAGAAACACTGAGAGGAGAGATGCTGCGTCGCACTTCTCCACAGTTAGCAGGGCCAGAAACTCAGTGACCGGTCGGTTCTCACGGATGAAGGTGACGAAAAGGATCATGTGTTTTCCTCGACACCTGTCTGTGCTCTCGTCACAAGTGAGTCCGATGTACGGGCTCGCAAGGATGTGCTGGAGCTGCGTTGTGTGTAACCATGTCGTGATCGACTGTGTTAGTTGGCCAAAGCCGTACCTGTGGCGCATGTGAATCACGGTTAGAGCGAGTATGAATGTTGAACACACACAACATGAAGAACATGATTAGTATGCGTTTACTCACGTGGTGTAGTAGGTTCCGTATCCTTTCGCGGGAAATCCCGGAACCTTCTGCTCCGCGAGGTAGCGAACGAGGTTCACCCATAATTCTATGGGTGCATCTTGCTTGGTCACGAAGATGAGGGAGTCACACAGCTTGATGACCCGCTCCTTCTCGGTGTTACGAGCGAGGTTGTCACCGTTGATACGCGGCTGCCGGCCAGCTTCAGCAAGAAGCTTCGCCTGGTTCTTGACCGCCTCCTTGTGCTTGGTCGTTGATGCGTGCCTCTTGAACGCCTGTGTCTGTACGTCTGTGGCGCCGTTCCCGCCTTTCCCGCACTTTCCAGCATAACCTGCATGGTCGGTACAAATAGAGCATTTGAAAGCAGGGAGACCGTCAGATTGCCGCAGTAGAATTAGCCACTCAAACCTGTCCAGCCACTCAGTCTTGTACTTATACAGAGCCTCGGCGTAGAGCGCGTCGCGTCCAGACTGTTTCGAAGGACCCGGAACTGGTGGCGACTCCTGCGTTTTGGCTATCACGGGCGACGACCGTTGGTCGGTTGGCGAAGGCACGGTAGCTCCGTCGACTGCGGCCTTAGGAAACCATCGCAGCGTTGACTGCGTGTATCGGCCGGTTTTGTTGGCCACTCGTTCAGGAGCGGTATTTTCAGCTGGAGGCGGTGAGCTGTCTTGCTCGATGACTGGCGCTGACGGGGATGCACAGAGCGGCTCCTCATCTATGTGCTCGAACGGTATCTTGTCTGGCGGCTCGAGTTCTGGTTGCTTCTCATTGACGTCGACCTGCGCTAAGCCCGAAAACAACAGATCGATGCCGGTCACAGCTTCGGTACGGTCTACATGCGGCTGGCGATGCGCATCACCGGCGTGTTCGCCGCTTGTTTCCGTGCCGTCAAGCTGCTCCACCATGGTAAGCAGCGCGGACGGCCTCGCATCTAACCTAGTGACAACTGCAGAGGCAAGGGATTGCCAACGCAAAACACAGGCCTCGGCTGGCTGCCTCTTGGTACACTAGGGTGAACGAGGGAAACCCAGTTTCAGATGCAAAGCTTGGAGAAGAAGGGGCCCCTGGATGGCAGAAACGGTGGATGGGTTGGGCGGCGTGGAGGATGGCACGGTGCTTGCCAGCACAGCCCAAACCTAACGCATCGCACGTGATGGGTACGGGGCAGGAACCTTGGCAGCCCGCCAGCACCACATGTCTGCCACATTCGGATTCGCCAACACTGGATGCTGCAGCGAAACGGCCCAATGGTGTGAGGCGCCCCGCCAAAAAAACACCTCTCAACGTGAACCTAAGGCAACATTTCTAAGGGTGGTCCCGCCACGGGGTGCCTACATACAGGGAATCTGAGATTCCCTGCAATTGCGGTCGAGGTGACATGGCACAGGTGAGATTCGCTTTCAGTGTCGGTTTCGTTACAACGTAGTGGCATCAGTGTACAACGGAAAAAAAACCTGAAATATCAGTGTGGCCAATAAAAAAACGCTGAAAGATCAGTCCTACAAAAATCCCAACTCTGACTTTTCAGGGTAGCTTGAAAATCGGCTGCCAAAATCAGGAATTTCAGGGTTTTTTTCCTGATATCTGAGGCCCTGCCACAGAGTAATACCCCCGCGTGGTTAAGATAGCGGCGGTCAAAATACCGTGGACTAGGTGTATCCAGGCAAATTCGGTACGTGCGGCTGCTCGAACTGGGCCCACTTTGTGACCCTGTTTAAAGGTTCGGATTCTGGGATTGACAACACAGGCACATGCTTGTGCGTGTAGCATAATCTCATCACACAAAGATAATAATGATAAAAAAGACCCAATGAGATAGTAATTTCCTTCGTGATTCTGCTGCACATTCATAGTGCATTGCTTGAAATTGTAGACAAAACGCAGAAGTTGGACAGCAGACCAGCCTGGCACCTGCATTGTGATCCCAGCCACCCATTCTATGCAACCTTCGACTTTTACAGTGCTACAGACCAGCCCTACGTCTTTACTCCCTATCCCTGCCTCTCCTCCCACTATCCAACCAAACACAGAGGGTGAGGCAGCAGCGAGCAGACGGAGTTGGGAAGACAGCGGCAGAAGGGGAGGGAGAGGAAGGGAGGGGCAATGGCGAGGAATGCTGCAAGGAGGGTGAGGGAGAGGAGGAGGAGGGACATAGGGAGGCCAAAATATGGGTAGAGAGCTGGGGCACGGGGCAGGAGGGGCAGTACCATCGTGAGTACCCCAGTGTCTAGAACTTCCCTGAAGAGGGATGGGAGAGTGAGAAGAAACGCAAGGAGCAGGGAGGGAGGGCAAAAGGGTATTTGTGTGCTGGGAGTTGGGCGACCCTGTGGGCAAGATGGGTGAATGTGAGAGAAGATGGATAAAATTAACGGCAAGAGGTGTGTGGTGCCAATGTTTATTGGTTGCAGGCAGAATCTCACTTGTTACAACAGTACACTGCATGTGATACATATTCATGGCAGCAGCAGCAGCTGCAGCAAGCTCTGCACATGTTCTTGAGACGGCTCAAAAAGCACGCACTGTGCAGCAAGGGTGCGGTAGTACGGGGAGACGACACCCGAGACCCCAATGGAGGAGCAGCACAGCAGTGTGAGCCCGTTCTCTGCTGCCCTCACTGCATCCGTCTCGAATGTCACGTGGCCTATGGCGCCCCACGTCCAGCTGGGCTGCAGCAGAATGTCCACTCTGAGGGCGGTGAGAGTGGTGGTTGGCGTTGAAGGTTGTGAGTGTGGTTCAGTGTGAGTGGGGCCAGGGGAAAAAGTTTGACCAGCAACGGAGTGACTCCTCTGGCCTTTCCCACACTCATTGGAGTGAGTAAGTGAGTGAACTTACACACACGCACAGGCAAGCATCTCACTCGGTCCTGAGCCTCACATGCACCCTTGGCTCACCCTTGCCTCACCCTTGCCTCCTTGCCTGGCTAATCAGCGCAGGAAAGTGCAGGTCAAAGAAGAATGGCCAAGGACAACCCTTTCCCCCTCCCCCCTCCGCACGTCACACACACATTTACACAGACTCACGCACGCACGCAACTCACCCTTGCCTGCCCGCCTGGCTGATGAGAGCAGGGAACTGCAGGTCGAAGCAGATGGCGACAGACAGCCTCCCCAGAGGCGTGTCCACCACGGGGAGAGTGCCATCGCCCGGCAGCACATTGCCTTCCACGGAGGGCACGGGGTGCGACTTGTTGTAGCGCAGCATGGGGGCGCCGGTGGGGCCGATGAGGGCGAACGAGTTGGTGAATTGCTCCGGGGAAATGCGCTGGGGGAGAGAGGAGGGCGGAGGGGGGAGGGGAGGGAGGGGGACAGACAGGGGCAGACAGACTTGTGTGATAAGGAGCAGCGGGGCGATGAATGTGAACGAATTGGTGACTCAACCTGGGGCAATGCGCTGTGGGGGAGCGAGAGGGGATGAGGGTGGCAGAACGGCGGGAGGAAGTGCGTATCAGATGCGCTGCCCTCTCGCCTCACCACGCTGCATCAAGCACACACATTCATATACGACACGCCTAGCCCAACAGCCGACGGGGTTGCATCAGCCACAGCAGCAGAACTTGAAGCAGTAGCCGCAGCTGAAGCGGCCGCAGCAGCAACAGCAGCATCGGCTGTGCGGTTCGAGCTCGCAGCAGAAGCAATAGCAGCAAGGTCAGCTAGGAGGGTAGTCTCCTCTTGGGCGTGCAGCAGAATCACTGCTGCCTCTGACCACAGGACCAATGCTTGTGCCTCTCACCCGCACTGCCTCTCACCCACACTGTTCCGCGCCTCACCATGCTGCATCAACATCAAGCACACACCTTCATATAAGACGCGCCAATGTACGGGCCAAGAACCGACAGGTCTGCATTGGCAGCAGGCCTTGAAGAGGCCGCCGCAGCAGCAGTGCGGTTAGCGCTTGCAGCGGTGGCGATGGCAGCGAGGTCAGCCAGGAGCTTGGCCTCCTCATGGTCATTCAGAAGGATGACTGCCGCCTCTGACCACAGGATCAACACCTCGCCTGCTCTCGCCCTCTGCTGCGTCTGCTGCACCATCCGTGATATGCCTGCCATCCGCCATGCCTGCCACTTCTCCCACGCCTCTCTAGCTGCTGCGCCTGCTGCTACTGCTGCTGCTGATTTTGCTGCTTCTGTTTCTGCATCTCCTTCTGCTCTGGCTCCTTCTGCTGCGGATACTTCCCCTTCCGCATCTCCCTCCCCCACTTTCCCCAGCTCCCCCCCTATCTCCCCCTCTTCTCCTTGCAGCAGCTGCCTAGCTCCTGCTGCTTCAGCAGAAGCAGCACGTTGAGTAGATTGAGCGAGCGAGGAGGGAGGCTGGGGAGGCATGGTGTTGGTGCAGGCTTGTGAGAGAATGCAGGATACAGGGACGGAGGGAACGAGGGTTTCAGCGAGTGGATTTTGGAAGAAGCTGCAAGGGGGAGGATTAGAGGGTTAGGGAGAGGCAGAGGGAGAGGGAGAGGTGGACTTTGGAGTTGACTGAAAAAGATCCAGGAAAACGGACGGTGGAAAGGGCCAAGGAAACGGAGTGGATGGGTCGTGGTAAACGTAACAGCAGCGTGAGTGAGATGAGAAGTGAACGATGCAATGCAACAGAGTGAACGGAGTGGTACCAGGTACGTACCGGAGTGGTCTCCCTTGCCGACCCTGCTGCCACGAGCACCACCAGCAGGCAGTGCTGCAGCACACATTACCTCGTCTCATGCAGTGGTAGATACCTGGATGATCAAAAGGGCATTCTTTTGAATTGACTCAGATACTACCTGGATGAAAGCACGGTCTCCCTTCTTGACCCTGGCGCCATGAGCAGTAACGTACTCGCGCTTTTTGAGACGCGCCTCGGTGAATAAAAAATCATCTCATCTCATGCAGTGGTACCTACCTGGATGAAAACACTGCCTCCCTTGCGGAACCAGCTGCCATCAGCACCACCAGCAGTGCCGCGCTGACTTGCACATGCCCCCGCCCGCTGCCGGCTCCCCTCCCCCTGCTTTCGCCACCTGCTCCTTCTCCCTCGTCCCTTCCTCCCCTCCCTCCCCCTCTTCCGCTTCCTTCTCTTTCTCCTCCTGCTCCTCCGCCATCCCGCACTGCACTACCACCATTACAGCCCTCACCACACAATTGACTGTAGCCCCCCTCCCCCTCCCTTTCTCCCCCCCCATCCCCCCGGCACCGCACAACCCCTCCCCCTCTCCCTTCTGTCTCCTTCCCAACCACCCTCCCACCGCCACTGCTCCTCCATCCCTCCACACCCCTCCCCACCGCATCCTCCTCCCACATGACCTGGTGAATCCCCCCCACCAGCCACGCCAGTAGCAGCAGCACCCCATCCATGCCCACCCACGCAGTGGCTTGCACGAGAGGGAGGATGGAGCGGACGGAGTAGAGCGGGTGGGCTGTGGCGCCTATGGGGGAGAGCAGCGACAGGAGGGTCCAGATGGAGGTGGAAACGAGGGGGAAGACGAGCGGATGCAGGTGTGGTGAGCGCCTGTGTTGGGGAGGAAAGGGGGAAGGAACGGGGGGGGAAGGGGGAGAGAAGGAGGAGGGGTGGGGGAGGGAAGAGAGGGAGTTTTAGGGGCGGAGAGGGGTGGGTGACAATTGAGTCAAGCAAAAACGGAGCGGAACGAGTAGAGCAGGTGCGATGTTGTGGGAAAGAGGGAGAAGAGTGTGATGAGGGTTCAGATTGAGGTGGACAGAGGGGGAAGACGACCAGATGCAGGTTTAGTGACAGCCACCATGCCACCACGACATGCCATCATCCCTGCCACCATCACACGACCACATACCAACAGAGTGCAGCATGCATGTGCGCAAAAACACACACCCACACACACACACACACACACACACACACACACACACACACACACACACACCTACACACCTGTAGGTGAAGCGGAAGAGCGAGTCAGCGAGGCAGGGCAGCAGCAGCACGGTGGTCATGGGCAGCACGTCGCAGGCCACGAGCAGCATGGAGGCGAGCGTGTGAGCTGTGGGTTCCACCGCGTACATGCCCGCATACGCCACTGTCATGCCGCATGCCTGTGTGCGGGGCGCGCAGACGTGGATGTGCAGATGTGGACGAGCAGATGTGGACGTGCAGATGTGGGCGTGCAGATGTGGACGTGCAGACGTGGACGTGCAGACGTGGACGTGCAGATGTGGACGTGCAGACGTGGACGTGCAGATGTGCATCCCAAAATGTCCGAGTTTCCGAAGTTACGGGATTGCTACATTGCGGTAGCTCTCCCGTAAGATTGTGAAGACCTACCCCAAAGATTGTGGCTCACATACCTCTCCGTAACTCTGGTTGGGATGGGCTGTTGAGAAATTTCTTGGAAAAGTACCAGCTCAATCTCAGCCGCTTATCGAGCGTTATCAGAAATCATTCTCTCTCGTAACTTCGAACTGAACACCCGATCTCAGCCGCTTATCTCAGCCGCTTAGCGAGAACAGAAAAAATACTCTCTCGTAACTTCGAACTGAACAAGCCAATCAGCGTGCGTCTCATGGCTGGATCCGATTGGCATCGCACATATTTGGATTGACATTTTGGCACCGTGATTGGTTCGCTCGTTTGAAATTCGATTGGTTGCGACAATTTTCCATGGGAACAAGATGCTGGTAAGCAAGGCTACAAATTCAGTTACATGTACACTAATTTCGGAGCTCTTATTATAGCTCATGAGCATGTGATTACAAATGCGCAATCTAATAACCTTCAGCCATGCAATATTTGCTTTCTGCAATCCGCTATAACGTGGTTGATAGTTCTGTATATCGAAATTTGCTCTTATGCAACAGAAATGTATAATTACATTTTACAAATAATCAGCGTAACAAAACCAGAATGTAACTATTACTATCTGGCGCCTCTCCAAAGCAGCCAGAATCCCACAGGAACCCGAACTACTACTCTTCAATGCCCTTGTGTCATTTAGTTACCCTAAACACTGCGTTGGGAGAGAACTGGGGTGAGGAGGGTGTGGGAGAAAACCACAAGCACAGGGGGGGAAAAATCTTGGGGGGTAGTCTGGAGAAGGGGAGAGAAAACCAGAGATGGTGCAGTCACACTCGATGGCAGAAGCGCTAGCATCAATAAACGAGGAATGTTTACTGGGGGAACGGCATGAATGAACGAGTCATAACATGGAAATGAAAACTTATCGTCATCGCCACTAACGGCGGCATAGCCGCATCTCTCGCCGCCACTCTCGGCACGATAGCACATAGCTGCGGCGGATCATTGCCCGCATGCATTTCCGCGACGATTCGCAGCACGAGGTGCAGTCGAGGGAGTTCCGACGACGATTTGTGGTAGAACCGTGACGATTCTGTATGATTAGACAAATACGAATAATGGGGACGTCGGGAAAGGAACGGGAAGGAGGAGAAACGAAAAGCGGAGTGAGAATAGGCAAAACAGGAAAGAGCAACAATCAGACCAGTCGCAAATCAGGAAACACGAACTGAAAATACAAAGCCAAAGCGCTGGACAGGCACGTCGCATAGGACGGAAAGACACAGAGTAACAGAAGGGACATTAGGAACGGATAGAATGCTTGATACGAAAAATTGCATGACATAGCAAGTCAACTTAGCAGCGCACCTCTCAGCGAAGTTCACGTAATCATTTGCAAACACCCTCGCATCTGCTCACACACTGTCGTTGTTGCGCACGAAGACCAACATCTGGCAACAAGGGAAAAAAACGCCTAAGGGCGATATGATAGGAGCAGGAGACTGATGCCCTAACAGCCATCGAGCACAAAAAATGCAAGCTAAGTGCAAGACAAGAGGAAGAGGAGGGAATACAAGGTGCTGAATGTCGCCAAGAAATGACTGTGCCGGGGGGCAGTTGAGCGCAATGCCTTGCACCGCTGGCGCTTTTGTCGTTTCGTGCTTTGTTCCTCGTTCACTTTTTTTTTTCTTGCACAATGTATTGGGGAGAAACAAGTACTGATTGTGAGAAAGGCATAGTTGCAAGGCACATATGAGTGAAGTACAGTAGAACGAGGTGGGGTATAAAAGTTTTCAGAGCTCAGCAGCAAAACGTTGCAAAGCGACAAAGGATCCCATCAGCTCAGCAGCAGCTCTCGCCAGGTTCTAGAATCGATCAGCATTACGAAAGCACAGGTTGCTGCAACTGTGCTGCACGCGACAAGAGACGCGCCTGTCACATGCTGAAATCACCAAACCCCAATTTTCCTTCTATCTGCCCGCAACGTTGTTCATACGAGTACAGAGTTGTCACATCACACGTCTACGGAAACAGCATACACTATTTACCAAACATTCTCCTTAACCGAAGACTACCTGAACAGTTGCAATAATTCTGGAATAACAAATAATGGGACACGTCACCACTGCTGAGTACTGTTTAGTCCCATACATGTCGTTTCTGGAAGCCAGACGTTCATCCGTCGCACTGAAAACCGAAGACCGGCCGCATAGTGACAGCATTTCCCACTTGTCAACCACCTGCGCGTCGCTGTTCCCCCTTCCCCAGAATATTGACTCGTGAATATTGCGGGAGTGTCGTTGCAGCTGGAAACACTAACTTTTGTAAAAATTGGTTGCTTAAATACATTACGTTACAGAATCTCATGCAATAATGTCAAAATGGCAACCAGATATTTGGCCAGACTATTGCCAATCTTGAGGATATTTATTTCTGAGACACCCACATTTATGTTAATAATACGTTAATACATATGCATGAACGCTGAAACACTCACCTTGGTTGGTTTTTGCCCCAAATGCACGCAATTTGGCTCGTAACCACCACGTTTGCGGTTTGAATCAATTTGACTGTGGTTTTCCAGCCTCCCCTAGGCCTACTCGATCAATTTGAAAGAAATTAAATTCATCTGGAAACTTTCAAAATTAACATGAAACTTCACTCAGTGATATTTATGTCCGTACTTGAACGGTTTAACTTCATTTGATGTTCAAAATAGAATCACTCATGGTGGTGGCATGCGATTGACACAAAAATGGGCTGGCACCCTTATTATGTCATTAATAACTCAGTGGTGGTTAAAAACATGGAAAAAAAAGGTACGCATCGTTGAATCGACATCGTCTCCCATCATGCGAATGCCATTGAATTAGGTTGACAGCCTTCTCATATCATCTAAGACTTAGTGCTATGAATAAAACTTGCAAAAAAAGCGTTGAAACGGCATAGTGAGTCGTGATCTTTACCAATTAGTTGGTGGTAGAACAATTTAGTAGTGAATTTAACGTTCCCAACGATCATAACAGACAATCTCTGTAGTTAATCATGTAATGTAAACTGATAAAAGTGCTGGGTGGCAAGTAGGACCTAAAAAATGCATGTCTAAGCATTCAAAGCTCTTTACTATTTTTGAAAAGGGACATTTCAACAGACAATTTCCATCACAATTTTTTCTGGGTGCACAGTAACGGAGAACATCTTTAGCGGGACCAGTTTTGTGTCAAATCTTTCGCAAGCCGCTGCTTCTTGGAAGGAGTACATCAAAACTCAATTCTTACAGAGCAGTAGGTTTCAACCGAACGACCAATAGCAATCGCCCGAATGGTTTGTTGGAAGTTTCCTGGATGAAGTCGAAATGGTTCGACCAATAATAACGCTCGCGAGTGTGGCGTGGAAATTTCTTCGATGCTCCACCCCACTGATTCCCGAGTCGCGAACCCAGAAATGCAACCTGTAGGTAGGTTTAGGAAAGATACTCCTTCGCAATCCCTAAAAAACATCCCACCCCGACCTCGCACATTTTGGGATGTGGACGAGCAGATGTGGACGTGCAGATGATGACGTGCAGACGTGGACGTGCAGAAGTGGGCGTGCAGACGGTGGACGTGCAGATGGGGACGAGCAGAGGACGTGCAGAACGAGGGTGTTATTTGGCGCTGCGGAATGCCCTTAACACAGCCCACAGGCGTTACAGACACGCGCCGATCTCGGTTTCGGAGGAGATTCCGCGCGGCTTTTGAGGAGGCTCAGAAGTCACTTCTGAGCCTGAATGTCCCCAAGGTACCGCCATGAACTGTGTGATTGCCGCGCCGCCCGTGCTGGTTGGAATTTTGGTAAAGTGCGATTCGTTCGATGCTGCTATCTCTGCGCCGTGGCGTGCGTGCATGCGTGAAAGGTCGCCCACGCGCGCCGTGGAGAAGAAGCGGAGAACCAGAAGCTGCTGCAGCCACCCCGCCGGCACCACCTCCTGCAGCCCGGTGAACGCGGTACAAATTGCGGCGCCCACAAGCAGGAAAACGGGGCAGCCGGCTGCTCCGCGGCGCGCGGTGTTACTTGCCACGGCGAAAGGGCAGCCGTACGCCATTGGTGGGAGAAGGAAAAAGAAGGGAGAAGCAGTGTACTATGCTAGATAGTATAGGACCATGGGAGAGAGGGTTCCCCGAGTTACGCCGTTTTTTCAGAACAAAGATGTCAGGACCTAAGAGTAGAATCTGCAAACCGCGTCGACTTGGAGCTGATCATGAGATGTCGCTTTGAGGGTTGTAGTTAGTGATTATGGGTGGGGACTATGTGAACTTAGGGCGTGAAACTTCTACGGAAACATGTTACGACGGGCCGTTTGTCGCCAAAGTAACAATTCCGCAAGCTTCGAGAAGAAGTTATGAAGCTAACAGAAGTGAGGTCGCGAGAGAACTTCGGCGAGAGACTGACTTTGACAGAAACACGGCCACGCTGAAGTTCGACACCCTCCGTCGAAATGCCTTGTCTCGGGTCGGATGCTTTATATCTCGGTGATGATGGTGTGAAAAGGGAGTACAGTACGAATGTCCAACCCGTGCCCGCACATTCGGTCTGCTCCCGTGCCCGCACATTCGGTCTGCTCCCGTGCCCGTACATTCGGTCTGCTCAATACCGAACGCCTGCCCGATAATATTTGGTACCGGGCTGTCGCCCGCAGCTTACAGTTGACAGTTGATTTGGGTAGGCAAATTTCAGAACCTGTGGTGAACAACACACACCTGTCCTTGTCAGCCGCCTTTTGGCATTGTACACATGCATGCGAATTTGCCCGCCTCAACTGTATACGTTTCCCTGCCCGTGCCCACGAAGAATTTGGTGCTGGGAGGTTGCACCCAGCCCCCTGAGCTGCACCAAGAAGATGGTTCGTCCAACTGGCAACCTATGGAGCAACAGCCAACGCAATAATGTAATAAACCAAAGGTAACAAAGGGGA